ATTAAAAAGTGAATATACTTGATTTTTGAATACTAACATTGACCTGAGCTCTGGTGGCATAGTGCCCAAGGTATTTGACTGCTAACCAGATGGTTGGTGGTTCAAACCCACCAGCTGCTCGCAGGTGGAAGACTGGGCAGTCTACTTCTGTAAAGATTTACCGCCTCAGAAACCCAATGGGGATTGCTGTGAGTCAGAATTGACTTGACGGCAGTGGATTTGGTTTGGTTTTGGTTTAAATTGATCTTTGGTATTACCTCTGTTTGAACCTACTAGTCTTTTAATGTACAAAGAGATGGTTTCCTAGGAAGTTTCTTCTCTAAGTGTAGTTACCAAATTAAGACATACACTAAGCTAGCTTTAATATTAGCTTTGTAGCAATCATAGTAGCATTTGGACATCTCACCTGATGCATGACCCTTGAGCATTTGCAGGATTACTTATCAAAAACATATAAACTGTTAATATTCCAAAGTAGACTTTAATAATTGTTTACTGAGAGCTATGGTAGCATAGTACCTAAAGCATTTGACTGCTAACCAGAAGGCTGGCAGTTCAAACCCACCAGCCACTCCTCAGAAGGAAGGTTGGGCAATCTACTTCCGCAGTGTTAACTGCCTCAGAAACTGAAGGAGGGGTTGCTATGAGTCGGGTCCGACTCCAGGGCAGTGAGTTGTATGCAGGCATTGTACCAAATTATACCATTATAGACTCTATCTAATTTATTGCTCACACCAGTCCTGCCTCCAAAGCCCCTAAATGGATACCTATGCTGTTGGTATCAGACTGGATACATTTAACACAGTAAAATCTTATTTTGGAGTTTCTTGAAAATTTTAGAATTGGTATTTTTGGTACTTCATGGAAAGAGAGTCTATTGTATTCTCTTAAATTCATGAGATAGTTTGGCATCATTCTAATTTTACCACTGACAATATGAAGACTAGGATTACTTTCTCCTAATTAATAAGTGGTGGAGCCGGGATTTACCTTCTGAGATGACTCCAAAGCCATGCTCTTTCTGGTAGCTGTGCATGATGGTTTTTTTTTTTTTTTTTGCCATTTTATCCTTAGAAGAATTTATGCAGAAGGATGATTTTTGCCTTAAATAAATAGAATAAAGATGTTTTATTTTGTTTATGAAAAAGAATTTTAGGGAAGAATTTGCAAAAAGCGTTTGAACACTAGTAGATTACAGTGGTTGCTTGAAAGAATACAGGTCAAAAGAACTAGGTTAAACTCATTGCTCATCTCTCATTGCTCATCTCACCTTGCTATCAATCTTGTTTCTCTCCAATGTGTTGTTTTTCTGTCTTCTTTCTGTTTTCTGTGAGGGGAAAATGCTGATAACTGACATTTATAACAGGAATATGTGTGGGTGTGTAGATAGATAGATAGATAGATAGATAGATATAGATAGAGAGATATATGTATATATGTATATATATATTTCCATATGTGTGTGTGTGTGTGTGTGTGTGTATGGGAGGTTCCTTGAAATTCCTAAGACCGAAAAGGATAATTTTTATTAATGATACTACTTTTGCTTTAGGG